CTACTGTCTCTTATACGCATTTATATGGGTATAAGAGACAGGGAAGTGCTGAAAGGCATATTACCCGTATCAAACAGGCAGCACACAGAATAGGATACGCAGATCCACAGATAAAAAATAAATTTATTGCAACACTACCACCTAAATGTAGAGCAGCGGTTGCTATGTCAATTATACCGGCTGATGCCACACTTGATATTCTAGTAACTAGTGCTCAAAATTACCTTGATCTGTCCGTAGAGGATAAGCAACGAGAAATCAGTTTCAATATTCAAGAAACATCTGAAATTGCAACACTTAAACACGAACTGAATGCATTAAAAATTGACCTTGCAACTGCTAAAAATAACTTTAATAGGCCCACTGACAGCACAAGGCGTTTACGTTCAGTCGAACGACACCGTGCACCAAGAACTAATAATTCCCGTCGAAGCCCAAGCCCATATCGCCAAACTAGGCCTCGATTTAACAACAGAACGAGGTATATGTTTGTCATTATTGTATGAATGTAGACAACGTGCCACTAAATTAAACCAACGTCTACCTCAACAAAATTTTCAGTCAGTGTATACCAACAGACGACAGAATTCACATTTTCACTAAGGGGATTAGACAATTGCGCCAATTGTTCGAGTCCCCATGCAAACTAACAGGAACCAGATTACATTCACACAAGGCGCAACATCTTGGAAATTCAGATAAGGTTGATTTACAATTAAATGCTAAAAATTATGTTAAAGGTAATTTACCTGATGGCAAAAATGTTTTGACTTTATTTGATAGCGGTGCTACAAAGACAATTATATCTCAATCCTATGTCCAATCCTCAAAGTATTTGTCACAGCTTACGCCTACACTCGTACAACCGACTAAATTTCGTTTAGGGAACGGTGAATACTTATATGCCAAGTACATGTTAAAATTTAATTTATCAATACAAAGGTAACGAATTAATATTTAACATGGTGGAAGACCTTAATTATTGATTTCACGGTACCTCCTCTCCAAAGCTGAGCACATATAGCCAAACAATTGAAGACGCACTAAACGATACCCGAATTGCGGTTAGCAGATTGTTTGCCCTTTCTGAATGACATGACTCTTGAAACTGAATTAACATTTTTCTCAAATACCGCAACTAACTAACAATAATTGAAAACCATGAGAAGTAAAACAAAACAACAGGCATCCACATTACAGGAAGAGAATTGAAACGAAAAAAAATAATCGGATTTGTGACAAGCTGACAAATGAAAACCATGTTCGGATTCGAGACAAGCTGACAGGTGACAAAGATTTTAGGATTCGAGACAAGCCGACATTAATTGGACTTCCCTCCCTGATGACGGACATGGAAACGCTCAAAAATATTTTTGAACATTAGACCAACTTTACTTTGAACATTATATTTTTGTTTTGATTACATTTTTATTTTTGAATGAACTTGCATGAATGTTGTAAAGATTACATACATATAATTGGGTAAGTTTAATACATTGTTGCATTCCATCATTGTGAAAAAGAGTTTATATTTTTATCCCTCATTAAAAATTGGTTTTAATTTAATAATTATTTTTAAAATTTATATTGATTTTATTACATCAACCACATTTTTTTTTGTAGTGCGCATTTTTTTTTCAAACAAGTTAAGGTCAAAATAGCAAAATGTTGAATATTAAAACAAGCACATTTTAATCGATACCTGATTGATTTAGATATCAAAACACAAATATAAACATCAATAATATAGCAATTATTCAGCACAGATTAGGTTAACGGACTGTTGATTTTGCAGAATCACACATGGGTGACTAGTCATTAATCCGAAGGTCCATTGGTCCGACGGTCCATTGGTCCGAAGGTCCATTAGTCCGAAGGTCCATTGGTCCGAAGGTCCATTAGTTCGAAGAGCCATTGGTCCGAAGGTCCATTGGTCCGAAGGTCCGAATGAGAGTGTCTTTTCCGGTCATCTAGAAGTTCTATATTTTAAAATTTCCTACCCCAACCGTGGTGGGTCTGAGGTAAAATTGGACTGGTTAAGCCCTCCTCCTCCTCCCAATTTTAGGGGAAAAATGTGGACGCTCTTGTTTTCATTGTGATAAGGTCCAAAATTTTATGATCACGACCCCAAAAAAAAAATCCTCCCCCCACAAAAAAAAAATCCTGGATACACCCCTGTAGGCGCTATATTTGTGAAACGCCTCTCACTTAAATTCATAGTATTTTGTACAGAGTTAATTGACTTAAACAATGCTACATTTTTCATTGCAGCTTTTTTGGTGACTGATTATAAATATTGTTATTTAAATATTTATATATTTGGTTGGCGTTTTAATACCTAAATAATCTTTGTCATCGTCGCCAACATCCTCATCATCATTATAATCGTCAAGATCATTCGTCACCTTTGTTAACATTATCAGCAGGAGAGGATCCAGAAAAAATGCTAGTAGGGGATAAAAGTATCAAAAAGGTTTTAATAATACCATTTAAACACTAAAATATCATTATAAGGTCTTTCCATTCTGCATTTAAATTATCCACCTTACAGTATTTCTTAATTGTTTAGCCTTTTCCCAGACATTTTAGGGTCCTTTGTTTTAAGTGCTTTTTTTTTTAAACGAAGTATTTATTGTTTGTTTGTTTGTTTGCAAATTTCATCTTGGCAATGTTTAATGTGATTCCAATAAAGTTGTTGTCATTGAACGTTTTAAATGATCTTGATTTACTAACTTTTTGGTACATTTTTTTTTATTTGGCGATTTTAATAAATCAATCAATGGTCAGTAAGCCGAAGGCTAATTACACTATAAGTTGATATATTTTGTTTAGTGACAAATATTAGGTCAATAATTGTTTTAATAGTTTTTGTTGTAAAAATTTATGAATAACTTGCATTATATTACCTTGACTGACTATGGTGTTCATCTATTTAGGTTAGATTAAAATCTAACATAATGGCATCATTATATAAATGCGGTAACATTTTGATACGTTAGGTCAAGTTTTGTTAAATATTCAGCCTTTGCTTTGGGTGGTCTAAAAATTGCCTACAGAGCTATTGAGTGAGGTGTGTTTATTTCTACCGATAGTGCTTTCCATCTTCGTCAAACATATTCATTCCTTTAATAGATTACCATTTTTAATGTAAAGTAATATACCACCTTGCCTATCAAGTCTACAGATTTCATGAACTTCGATTAACACTTCATTGTTGTCAATATTATCACCAGTAAATTCCGGTTTAGTTTCAGCCACCCACGATGGTCCTCCGGTGATAATCGTTATTGAACCTACAGAAATTTTATAAACAAATTTCCTCCGATTCCGATATTATGTAAAAAAAAAAAACAGTAAGCCTAATTATAAACAAAATCCTGACGATCCAGAAATTGCGTATAAAATCCCGCCGATCCTGACTTTAAAAAATCCCGTAATTTTACCAAATCCCGCCGATCCAGTTATTGCGTACAAAATCCCGTAATTTTACAAATGAATTGCTCGTCCATCCCGAGGAATCCTAACAAAATTCCGGCGTGATGGGGTCATTCTGATGGAATCTCACTGAATCCCGATCGGGATCCCGATTTCATCTTTGATAGGGTATCTGTCATCCATATGTGATTTTGTTTGATTGTCACTATGCATCTTGTTTCTATTTATGAAATATGGTACCGTATCTTATTGTGTCCTATCTTAAACTTTCGGACCAATGGACCTTCGGACCAATGGGCCTTCGGAATAATGGTCCGTCCCCCATTGATCTTGCTGCGGGCCGAGTTATGCATAGCCGTACCCTTGTACGGCGCCCAGTGATAACGACTCGACGTTACCATGGAAAAGCATAGAACAAACTAAATAAATATCAGTCTCTGAATTTTTGCGTGCAATTAAATCTTGTATTTATTATTTTCTTTAAGTCTCATTTTCAATTTTTATATTTTATATTTGTTATATATATTTGAAAATGGATTTGGTACAATACAAATAAATTAATTAC